GGAAATTTCCAAGATGGGTAAGGCGTATCGCGCGCGGGACTGGAATTCCAGACGAGTTGAAACACAGTTTCATTTCGCGGAGTCGTATTTGTTCTCGTTGTGCGCGCTTGAATTACTTGATACACACATACACACACACACACACGCACGTACAACACGCATACACGGCAATCAAAACACATATCGCTCCGTAATAGACCAAAACGTTTTTCTTTATTCAGAAAAAAAAAACTGTTGCGTAAAAACGATCGAGTATATCGCGCCAATTACGTTAATATACGATCAAAAAAACGTTGAATAAATGAATAGGATTTTAACTACTTACAAATAGTGTGAATAACTCGAATTAAAAAAGTGTGCGAAACGTTGTGTAAAATTAAGGCCAATAAGATTCAACGTTGAATGCGTAATAATTTATTAGAGATCAATCAATTTTTTTAATCGAACATTTCGATTCTCAGTTTGGGTTCTCATCGGCGCAACATGTGTATACGCGATACATTGGACTTAAAAATCCAATATATCAGAACCAATAAATTGATGGTCAATGGAACCTTACGCTGAATGTTCGTTTTGCAAAATGAATATATGTATATATGTATATATATATATAGTACATATAATATCGCACGGAAAGCGAGAGATTCCAGGTTCGACTCCTGGCCGAGGTGTTTTTTTCGCAATATTTTAAATTTAGATAAGGGACATATGGGTCCTCTATTTATCATACATGAGATGCAAGTATAGCGTCCTATATGAATTTAAAAATTGAAGTTTTAATTCAAATTTCACATTTAATATTTACACAAAGTAATGTGAACATATGTATATATATATATATATATATATATATATATTCATTTGGCAACAAACATAAAGCTTCAATGACCATAAATTTATTGTCAGTTTTAAACTTTCAGAGCTCATTAACTTTTCGTTAATAATTGTTGTATTAAAACCAATCCTGACGCAGTTCATTTTTCCAACAAACACCGTGCGTAAATCCAAACAATACGGTTTGAAATTTTGTGTCAAAATCAACATCGTCGTGGCTAACAGATGTCAAATACGCTAGACGGTCTCAAACGTTGAAAAAATAATAAAAAAAGAATAATAAAACGTCACGGGAGCATACACTCCAGGCTCGGCCAAAAGACAACATCGACGATAGTGCGAACAGAAACGATCAAATACAAACTATTTTATGTTTGTCTCATTCGCGGATATAGACGAAATTCCGCGCGCACACATATTTCGCCTCGTTGTGAAAATCGAGCGGAATTTCTCTCGGAGATTTTTGCGACAAATTTTTCACGTTTTTTTTCCGCTACCGGCGGAAAGAAAAAACTCATTCAGTACGCGCGTCGCGCATCTCTCGCTGTCATTGTAATAATTATCGCTGACAAGCCGTTTCTCTCTCTTGTCTCTGTCGATATCGGTGTAGTCTGATAACCACCGCTGGCGGAACGAGACGAGTGATTTGGCGTGACCGTGTCGAAGATGGCGCGACGTTAATTGCAACCAGAACAATTCTTGAAATGATTCCTTGTTAATTAAATGTTGCCCCGTCCCGAGATAGAAGAGAGAGATACGATCGTACGCGATTGTATTTCATTATGTCCAACCAGTGTTTTCGCGACAGCTGCTTTAATTATAAATTATCGACGTGCCCTATTTCTTCCGTCATTTACATGTTATTATATCGGTTTTTTCTTTATTCTAAAAATACTCCAACACGCAAGATTGCCAAGTCGCTCGTCGTCACACCTTTACCGTGAGGGCCAATAACTCCGGCGTTCATCATCTAAACGGGAGGCGGGAGGATTGGGGGGTTGTACGCGGGCGAGATGTATTTTCACACGTGAAATTACCGCGTGCGACTAGCGCAATAAAAACGTCGCGCTCGGAAATGCCGCGGCTTTGGTCGCGGATCACTCGCGCGCGAGTTTTTTTGCCGAAAAAAAAAAATAAAGAAACGTACGACCGCGCGCACGTATTAGGTTTTTTTTTTTCACGCGTCGGTTTTTTGCTTCGTTGAGAAAATATTGACTCTGAAATCGGCGAGTGGGAATCCGTGAAACACACAAAGTACAACGTGTGTGACACGTCTCGTGTATATATTTCATCGTAAATAGTTGCTCCTGCGGGGGATAAAGCTTTTAACGGGAAAGGGCGAGCCTCGGCGACGCGCCGTCAGCGAAGTTGTGCGCGCGGAGAAGAAGTTTCGCGCCTGGGTCCTCGCCAACACCACACGGGGATGAGTAATGGCAGGTCTCTCTGCGTTACTGTAGCCAGCAGTTTGTCGTCGAAACTAACCGAGGGTCTCCGGCAGCTCATTTCGCAGCACGACACGTAATTCAATTTCCATGTAGCGATTCCCATATTGCGAGCCTCCCGCTTGTCCTCCCATCTCTCTCCGAGGCTCGAACCGAAATCATCTCGGAAGCATATCACTTTAGGTAGGTGCGAAACGCATTCCCCGGGTGTTCGATACACGCGCGCATCTTGAATAATTCAAAAACGCGAAAAAAACGGTTTGTTGTTATATAATATACAATAACAAACGCGAAGTCAATCAAATATTACATCGTATATCTGTAAAACAATATTGATAAGATTTACGTAATATTATTGAGAGATGTTTACACGTACGTGTGTGTGTGTGTGTTTACGCGTTCTCGTTCATTTGTGTTTCTTTTTCATATTGTTTTGTTGATCGCTCTTGTTTTGCAGAACGTTATATAAAATTTTCTCATATATCATTTAATGGACTGTAACGTATATATGTTGCGAAAAATAAGAAAGAGACAGAGAGAGTAAAGGATTCATTCGGATTCTCGATGCTGTCCGGTAATATCAGCGCGAGATATCCAAGAGAGTGGTTTGGAGAGGGCGGAACGGTGTGGTGAAAGGATAATAAACGTCGGAGACGACGATGGTTTTTTCTCTTTTAATCCTGAAAAAAGGTAAGAGCACTCGAGAGAAGTCCAACGACAATGCCGCGAAACATCGTTCATTTCGACGATATGAAACAAACGAATTGTATGAATCGACTTTGGTGACGGTTTCTTTTTTTTTTTTTTTTTTTTTNTTGGAAATGGCTTTTCTAATTCGCGCGAAGAATAAAATTTTCTCGAGAATTTACACAACGTTTTTTTTTCTTTTTATCCGACGAAAGTCAAATATAAAAAAAAAAAAAAAAAAATGTCTTTGTGCTCGCGCTTGTTTTCTCTCTTGATCAAGGGGTTAGAAATGAAGAGGTTCGCTCTTGTTCCGATTCTCATTATATAAGATTCGACATAAGATCAGTGATTTATTCCGAGAAGTTTGAATTGGGTCGCGATATTAAGAATTCTTCGCGCGGAATGCTTCAAGTAAATGTGTGCATATACGGAATACGGCACGGAAAAAGAGAGAGAGAGAGAAAGAGAGAAAGAGAGAAAAAGAGAAAGAGAGAGCGCAAAATATTTTCGTTTCTTTCTCGTTCTCTCGCGCGCGTGGACGATTGTGCGCGCAGGTTGCATTCGAAGTTGAGATTAATCGCACCTTCCGTTTCTGTTCATTATTTCTCGAGTGCACAGGATTTTGAAGTTTCGAAAGCGACGACGATAAGTTTTGACGCGAGAATAAATAGCAGGGAAACGCGCCCTGAGAAAGGAATCAGAATAACAGAACTAATTTTCGCACGTGAAATAAAATGCGAAAACTCTCGACAGCAAGAGAATTCGACAAGTAAAATAGACAAGTAAAATAGAAGGATATTGCAGGACCGTAACCTAATTTTTATCGATCGAAACGGTATTGCCGTTTTGCCGGCTTTTGTATACACATTTTTTCTTTTTCACACGCAAAAAAAAAAAGTGATTTATACGTCCGACTGTGCGCGTGTAAAAATTAAAAATCAATAACTTTATTTCAAACAGAAGTATATTAGATTTTGTGGGTTTTTTTTATTTCACCAAAAAAGTAACAAACTCCGTTTAACAAGATATTTATTGAAATCTCGAAACTCCCGATATTTTTTTTACCCAAAAACCCACAAAAAAACAAACAAAATTGTTGCGAAAAATATCATTTCAACTACGGGACGCGCGCGCCGGCTTGAATCTCGCGTCTCATTTCGCGTATGCGAATACGATACTCCTACAAACTGACAAACGCATTATTCGACCGATAGCGGTCATTCGATCTGCAGAATCGGAGGAGATCGCAATCCGTCTTTCGCCAATTCGCGACTCAATCTCGCGCGAAGTAGCCGTCGAAGACGGCTTTCGTCACGCTTTTTCTTGTCTATATTTTGTTGGTCTTTTCGCGCGACTAATGTATTTCGAGCTGGTGTGTAATCGCGTTTGTCACGCGAGAACCGATGCCGAGCGGGCCGCTATTGCGAATAAACGTTTAGGAAGTGATTCCAATTAAGGACCATTATAGGATCGTTAATAATGGCGCGCGGTCCACGAGGTCGATAACGTTGTTTGGCACAGCGTGGTGCGCACCGGCTCTGTAACGGATTGCGAGGAACGAACACGCTGTTTCTCGGCGTTGTCCAAGTCCTTTTCGTGACTTATGGCGTACCACGCCAGTCCCCCGCAAAAAGACAGCTCTTTCCATAACGGAGAGAAGAAATCTCCGCGAGAGGAGAAAACTACATTGCGGGAGAGAGTCATTCCGCGAAGCGCATAAAAAGAGTAATACTTGGGTTACATGAATTTCATATTTCTCTTTATAGCTTTCAAATCGCGAAAAATGTAATTGCCGGGAGAAAAACATTATATGTTACCGTTGTGAAAGGATAAAAAAAAAACATTCTCTCGTTTTGGCGTATTATTTTTGCGCGATTTTAATAGAGTTATTATTTGCGCGATAAACTTTCGTCGACAAAAAAAAACATTAATGTCAAATAAAAGTGTAAAACATAAAAGTAAACATTTGCTTTTGCGAATATGATTGTTTTAAAGATGCGGCTTGTATTAATTTTTGTTCGTTGTTTCTTCTCTCAGGATGCCTAACGAAAACGTGCCGGTGTGCGCCTGTGGCCTGGTCGTGCCGAAGACTCAAAGCAACTCGCTCGTTCTGTTCGAACGTCCCGCGCGAAAGCTGACCATTCTGCTGCCCAAGTCGAAAGACAAGAACAAATCGGAGGGCAAGAACTCACGGAAGCAGCAGCACGACAACGGTCGGGGACCGAAGAATCGAACGTCGAGCGAGACCGGAAGCAGCAGCGCGGTAACGGAACGCGCCAGATCCACGATGAAGAGCAAACACGAGCAGAAGCACAATCGTTCGCGACGAGCTCAAAGCGCCGATCGAGCTGAGTCGCATTACACTTATATCGGTAAGTTTGTAATTCACACACGCGCACAAGTTTTTATTATTGTTACACATCGTATATATTGAGAATAATTTTATTCGTGAAAAATTTTAATATTTAATTTATTTAAAATTTCATCTTTTTTTTAACGGTAATATGTAAATAATACGCTCAATAAGTAAAATAAGGACGACTTTAATGAGATTACTGGCACACAGACGCGCGCTATGCGCACGCTCTTGTTATGTTTATTTTAACGTGTTGTGTCAGTGAACACAACCTGTCACCGCGATGACAGCTACTATTACGCGTCTTACAAACCATGTAATACATATATGAGATGTCAGAAATAACGCGTGAAATTCAAACTCAAAAAATAGTGACAAGGAGGAGTGGAAAAACAACATGTAACTAATCACGTGACTTTACTTTAGTCGCGTGTCTTTAAAAACTATCACGTGAGTTTACTTCAGTCACGTTTTTAAAGACACGTGAAATAAGAATGACTTCAACGAGATTAATGGGTAAATTTTACTTTTTTTTTGATTAATTTATAAAAAAAATATAAAAATCATTTATTTATAAAAAAAAAAAAAACATACATATCGTGAAATTTTGCAAGAGAGAACGAGGAAGAGAGAAATGTGTTGTTGCATTAAAGCTCTTGACAAACACTTTACAGATTCGGGTTCGAGTATCCTCGGTGGTGATGCTCGAGAGGACACCGTGCCCGAAGTGTTGTACGCAACCATACCGGACACGCCGAATACAAGTAATATTACAGAAACTGGGACCAGCCGGTCGAACACCCAGAGCAGATCGCAACCGCTTCCTCCTCTACCGTCTATGACGTCGCCGCCGCCTACGTACGACGTAGCGATTGCAAAAACGTGGCAGGTGAGAAACGCGCGCGCAGTTCAGTTTTTTCTTATGAACTGCCATTCATTGAGAAAACAAGAGCAAAACGAAAGCAATTGGAGTGATACTATATAACGTTACGATTTCGCGCCGATTGATTCTCTTCAATCGTTTTCATTTTCCGATTCATTAAATCATCTCTATCCTCCCTCCATTCGCGCTTAATCCCGTACAACCATGATTCCACTCGACGGCTCTCTCTCTCTCTCTCTCTCTCTCTTTCTCTCTCCTGCAGGCTCTTCAAATCCTCTCCGCAGACTCAATTCCCTCAACTTCCTTTCATCCTCACCCCGGAGTCGCACGCTAATCCAGTTCGCTCCGACATCTTTTCTCGGTATTCAACGATACACGTCTGATTTCCGCCGCATGTCTGAGAAATCCCCACGCTTCGAATCCAATATATTCGTTCAACAATGATATATATATATATATATCGATCTCTCGATCTTCCCGTGCGGATATTAAATCTACATTACAAACGTTTGCGGATTACAAATGTACGCGAGTGTTTGCTCGCGCAAATATCGCGCGCAAACCTTCGTCATTTTTAATTCTGAATGTGATGTAAATCATCGCGTATCTACGAAATTTACACTTCGGAGAATAAAAACAATTCTGCGGTTTGTTAAAAAGCAAAAAACGCGAGGAAGATAGTCTTATTTTTAAACTCGGGATATTTTCTTCTTCGTTTCGAGATAACCAGAAATTGAATTCCTTGACCCGATTTAAGGACCCTCACGCGGAAAGGTCTATCAATCGATGATGCTGTACCGCTGCTGCTGCTGCTGCCGCTGCCGCTGCAAACTCGACCTTTTCGGTCGTTGATCCGCGCGCATAGATGCATAGATACACAAAGTTTATTTCGATTCGCGTCGTTTCACGTCGCGCTCGAAATGAACTCCTCTCGGTGCCGAGGTTTTTTTCCGACGCAACCACGCAAATCACATGTAGGATTACACTCGTTTCACTCGAAACATTAGTCCGGCGGTAAAAAAACAAAAAACGAAGATTCAAAATCACGTACTGAATATTTTCCTGTAATATGATATTTTTATGTCAAGCGCGGAGACGCGTAGTTACACGAGCGGAGATAATAGGGCGCAGTTATATATCCGTTTATACAGTGGCGTTTCGGAATGTACAAGCGCGACAGCAGTTTCCGACAAGCAAAGCGGCAAACGGCACGCGGTCAATATTGTACAATAGCCGCACAATCAGCATTCAGTCGCTCGTAAGAGCATAACGTTTGTAAAGCAATAACGGGTCGGACAATGCTTTACAAATTGTCATCGTCGCACGCTTTAAATGATATGTAACTGGAATATTAATTTCTATATATAGTACGCGTGCATTCCGCGCGCTTTGTGACGTAACGATTCGTCGTTGCGCCGCGATAGAACACCGAGAGAAAAAGAGAGAGAGAGAGAGAGAGAAAAAAAAAATGGCACACATTTCCCGTCCGGTCGGTTCGACTCGATAAAATCGGCGCGGTTTATAACATCTCCCGCGCGTGTTATCGAAACGAATTACCGCTTTCGGCTGGCCGCGTACGTTGCGGGTTTGCACACGCGATAGCTTCTGAAAGCTCGCCGAGCCGCGCTTGTCACTCCCGATTTGTATTTCGCAGCGCAGTTTCGTACGTGACAAGCAGATGACGAGCGAAATTGGCGAACGATCTAACAATCATCAGTTCCCGCAAACGTTTCTCCGTGTATATATAGAGAGATCGGTAATCGAATACTATCCTCGCGGAGGCACTGTAATCGATCCCGCTGCCGCACGATCGCTTGCAATTCGCAAATTGGCCTTTTGTGAGCCATCGAATGCGTCGCGCCAGACGCAGGTTCTAATTACTAATTAGCCGGACTAACAATCGCGCCACAACGACTGAGAGGGAAACTACATATACGCGTACACAGATCGTTGCGTCCGAATATCACGAAATTGCGTGGGTGCGCGCGCGCGTGTGTTTTGTTTTTTTTTTTTTTTTTTTACAACCAATCGCGCGTGAGTTTGTCAAAAACAAAAACAAAAAAACACCAAGAATAACTCGCGCACGCGTTATCGCTCTTCTGTCGCGTCGTAAACTAGCAAAATATTTGTCACGCATTTATTTTCTGATTGGTATTGTGCAAACTATTGTTGCGAAAATATCGAATAATAATAACATCGTCGTTGTGCGTTTTCATCAATTCGTTGAAATAACAAGAATAATCGCAAACACGCGCGCGATAATTGTAAACGCATCGATATTGTTCTGACCTCATGACGCAAAATGCGGCGACACACCACTTTATATTCAAATGATTACGAAACGAAGAAAGATGGCGTTGCAACAAAAAGTTTTACTTTTCGTTTTCCTGACTAGAGCAAGTGGTGTTTTCCAATTGTTTATGCTTGCAAAGTGTAGAAAATCGCTATTATTTCCCACACACACTTTGATATAACAACTCGAGTAGAGATAAACGCGCCGGGATAAACGCGCGAACGGGGGATTTTCAGCGCGCGGTGTAATTCTCGATAACGTTTGACAGATGTTAAAAGGAAACGTTAGCGGGGAGAGAATTTGCGCGCGCGGAGGCGTCAAAATATTTTTCAATTCTGATTCCGGCACTATGTCAGACCGACCGCAAGAGTTTAATGGTCGATGCAACGCGGCTGATCTATAGTTGATCGTTGAGAGATATAGAAATATGGAAGTTACGAAAAGCTCGTCGCCGCTATTTCAAAAGTCGATTTATCGCGTCGCATAAATCTCCGTTCTGCGCACACACAACTCGTCCCGGCAGCTCGTAACTCACTCTGTTTTATACACACATCTCTCTCTATTCACGGAACGTTAAATTATTTGCGGAATTTATTACATAAGCCGTGTAACTCGCTCCATCTCTCTCTCTCTCTCGCTCCCGCTCGTTTTTTTGCATATAATAACAAGATCGTCAGGAGTGATTGTTCCCGACGGAAGTAGATGAAGTTGTTGGCTCGAGTATGTTCTCTTTCTCTCTCTCTTCGGCTTCCTGTTTTTCAGACAGATTCTATTTTGCGCGAATGTGCAATTCACCTGTCAAGTGATAATGTATGCGACGACACATTTCTATCAAATGCGCATCAACTTTCGGTCGAGCTCGTTGACCCAGTTGTGCTCGAGTAACTCTCCTCCGTGCACTCCCCGAAGAAACTCACGTCGTGTCTCTAGCAGAGAGACGACGACTTTATCGGAGCGAGCTCGATAAGTCGGCTAGAGGATAGAAGCAGCGGCGAGGAAGCGAGAAACGGGGCAAATTCAATGTACGGCTTCTTAACTCGAGGACTGTTCCGATCCGGTTGGCCGCCCAATTCCGCCGCGTATAGTTCTGCGGCGCCGACTGGAACATAAATTTCTCTCTGCTATGTACACATGTATATAACATATATACGTTATGTACATGCATTTGTACATATATATATATATATATATTGTATATAAAGTTGCCCGTACCCTCACCACCGTCGTCGTCGTTGTCATCGTCAGAAAACCGCCGTCATCCGGAAAACTCTCCGCGAGTTTTGCGAATTTTCTTTTTCAGAACTTTCGCGACACACAAGTCGCCGCGGCGTATCATACTGTATAGCTCTCATTAATACCAAAATGGAGAAACTTAATTGCATTCCGGTTGGAAAAGCGATCCACTTTCGGATTTTCGGATTCTCTGTGTGTGTTTTTGCTCTTAAAAAAAAAAATGTTCCATTTATATACGTTCACCAAGAGAGATTTCACGCATTTCCGGGACTTTGTGCATACGAGAGAGAGAGAGAGAGAGAGAGAGAGATCGAATGAGTTGAAATAAACCGTTCAGTCGGCGCGTTATGTAAGGGACAGAAGTCTGAGAAATGATCGCACTGGTAAATTCTTAATCGCCTTCTTGTGTGTCACGATAACGAGGAAGCCGACTCCGTTTGCATTCGGAAATGTGAAAAGGTCAAAAGAGATCGCGCGCGCGCGCAGAAAAAAAAAGGGTTTAGCCGGTAACGTACAAGTATGGCGAACGTCAGAGCGAGACGTAGTCGCGAGCCCACGAGAAAGAATTCCCTCGTGTGAAATGAAAAAAAAATCCCATCCTTGTGGGAAATGTATTCGTCGCACAGCGTCACAGATCGTAATATTTCCACAAAAGGAGAGAAATACAAAAGAAGACAATGCGCGCATCCGTTTTTTTTTCTTTACCCCGCCGGTGTTTCGCAGACCAACGCGCGCGATAATGTTGTTACATTACCTATATTCGGTCATTCCCGCTCGGACAGTTAAAACTCACGCATCGACGACCCGATATATTCTTTTGTCGGAAATCATTTCGGAACGAGGCGAGGCGGATTTCCCCCGTTTATACCGCGCCGTTTCACAAGACGTATCTCCGATATTTTCATTTTCAAGATCAAAGAGAGACCGCGGTCGATCGTCCACGACGATAAAGAAAGAGATATTAAAAAAGCGCGAGATAGGTGCTCGTTCGCGTCCGGTTGGTTTTTCACGGTTTTCTTCGCGGCCACGGTTGAAAGAATTTACGTTCGATACGGACTTTCCACTTCGAGGAAAAAAAAAAAAAAAGAAGAATTGCCGCGATAGCCCATTCCCTCGAGTCCTTCGTTCTTTTAGCGATTGTTTTCATTCATGAACCTATCTCGCGGGCGTCTTTTCCCACCTACTCTCGTAACAACAATTCTTCGCCTTTACTATTTTACCATGCGAAAAGGTTAAATCATGCTTGTGGGAGTCGGTCGTTTGTCAGGATCGCATGTCCGCGGGGAAACCGGAAGAGAAAGAGAGAGAGGGAGAGAGAGAGAGATTTCTCTCCACCCCGAACGCGTAGGCGAGAGAATCCCGTTATCGCGCGCGAAACTCGCGGCAATTACGGGAAAACACTCGCGTGTTATCCGTTTTCCTGCCCCCTCTGCCCCACCGGTACATAAACTTCCTCGGGAATAGTTTCAGACCTCGCACCGCGCAAAATTTCGTCGATTATCGCAAGAAATCTTAATGAACATTCTGAGAATTCTTCGAAGAAAGCGAAAGAGAGAGCGCGCGGATGTATTTAGATTTGAATTTAATTATCGACTTGCGGCGATGGCAATGCGGTTAAGAGCGGTTGGAATTTCGTTTTGGATTTAACAATTTATTGTGAAACTTGTTATATACAAACGTGTACGTGTGTGTGTGTGTGTGTCTGAAAATTTCATACCGCAATACGTGTGTTCGCACTCGAGTTTACCGTCGTTGCAAACACACACGAACGGTTTACATTAAAGAGAGAAGCGGTCCGGAATGTTTAGACGAGAGTAGGTGTAATACGCGCGGGTTTCGTAAGACTGTGAGCGCGGTTATAGAACGCGAAATTTACGTTCGCGGGATGCTCTCTCGGGTAATATTAATTTCGCCGCGCGCGAGTTAGCCCAAATGATAGTCAGTGTGTGCGTATATATATATGCATATACACACACGGATCTCGTAGCGTTTCACAGGAGAGCGAGGGTGATGTTAAGATAAACAAAGTCGAACAAGGGACTGAGAACGGGTCTGGAATTGGCGCCGTGGTTTGTGCGAAAGGCTGAGGGGAGAGAAACAGGGTCATCGGAAATTACAATAAAATTTCTGCAAAATTGCGAAATCTCGCGGGTAAAAAAAGTGGTTTTAAATTGTCCGGATTACTCGAATATATATTGTATATTTATTGGTTGAAAAATATGATTTACGTTATTTCCGTTCTCGAAATCGTTTTTCTCTCGAAATCGAATTTTTCCAAACGAGTTTTTAACATCAAGACAACTTGATGTTACAATGCGCGCGACGAATTTGCGCTAGTTTTGTTGCATAAATAAATAAATAAATAATGAAATAAAATAAAAAAAGAAAACGTTAGAGACTGATATTATACGCGCACGTCACAGGCAGATCTCGCGCGCACACGGTATGTATCACGCGCGTGTCTCTCGGCTCAATGTTGACGCGAAAAATCGCGCGCATCGCGCGAACGAAATCCCCACGAAACGATTTCCCGCACGACGATTTCGCACACGTATGGCACCACGGAGAGAGAGAAAGAGAGAGAGAGAAGAAGATAATCATCCCGGGAGAGTGCGCGGGCAGAGAGCTGTCGTAGACAGAAAAACGTAACCACGAGAAGCGCCGGGCAATCCTCTTAAACGAACGCCCGAGGGCGGCCACGCTCGCCTCGCGCGCTAGAAAATGGAATCACAAGATAATAATCCTGAAACTCAATTTCGCTTGTTCGTCGTCGTTCGAGATTCGCCGTTGCCTCCGGTTGACTTTACGTCGGGAAAGAGCTGAAGAATCGCGCGGAAATCGAGAAGAGTTTTGTCGAGTTTCACTCGGTCAATTTGGACGATCGAAAGAGAGAGAGAGAGACGAGAAGCGAACGAGAGCGAGCGATCGAGCGACCTGTTCGATTCGCGTCGTAGAAGCGTAATCATTTTGATTTACAATCTTCTCTCCCGCTTTTTGATGAATATCTTCCGAGCTAATAAACGGGAGAAAAACTTTCTTTCTCGAGCGAAAAGAAAGATAAAAATCCTTCGATTACTTTGCGAAAGATGCGCGCACCTTTCGAGACGAGCGATTCTATTCCGACCCTTGAAGCTTGTGTGTATGTTGTTCGCGCGCGCGTGTGTGTGTGTTATACAGCTATAGCCATAGGGTACACTGATAACTTCGTCCGATGTTTCATTTTCGGAAAGCACAAATATCTTCCGCCCGTTGCAATATATATTTATAACCCGAGTTACTTGACGTTTCTATCGATCGGGCGTAGATTCGTGGAAGAGAAGAACCGTATCGTATGTTTCCATTTGCGCGTATGTACAGCACATCTACACATGTTACCACGTACATACATATATTATAAATGTAAGCGTCGCATATGCGCAACACGCCACATAATATTGAAACTTTCATCTCTAAACCAAATCGGAAATTAAACTGTACGTATGTGTGTGTGTGTGTGTGTCTAGAAACTGTCCTGATATCCAAATGGTGAAAATTTGCGCGTCGCGATTATTGTCACGATGAATCACATTGAACAATCGGAAGAAACAACATGTAAATGTAATACGAAATCAAAACAGGACTTAAAAAAAAAAAAAAAAACAATGCAATACGTCGAACATTTGCTAGTAGTTTTAATTAACTCGCGAACGCGCACAATAAGATACAGACAAAGAATGAGACTTGCAAGCAAAGGGAACAACAATGTTTCTTTTTGTGCGAATTGTGTATTCTCTTGTGTAATTGAAAGCTCTTCCAGCGTTGTTGTTTTGTTTTCAGAAGAGAAGTTTTTTTTTTTTTTTTTTTTTTTTCAATTTTGAGATGTATCTTAAAAACATTTATTTTCCGACGGGAAAAAAAAAAAAAACTCGCGGCGCGGAAGTCGGCGCCTTTTGCACGCGGTTCCAATGAACGCGAAGCCGGTGCTAAAAAAAAAAAATGTGAGATCATTAAATACGCGACAATTAAACGATTAAACGAGAAGCGACGGAAGAAGAGAGAAGAAGCGTGTGTGTGCGCGCGCGATGTTTTCCGCGCGAACTTTCGCGATAGAAAAATGTGCAAGGCAAAGTCGCCCGAAGAGAAACGAGAGAGAAGTTTTTTCCGTGCTTTACGCGGCGTTCTGAAAACTGCGTTCTCACCCGCGAGAGGAACATTAAACACTAGTTTTTATTATAATCACGAGTGCGGGTTAATGCACAAAGAAAAGCGTGTGCGCAACACCCGCTGATTTACGCGGTTACCTTCATTATTCTCGAGCTCGCGCCGGCGAACAAACGTAACGTCGAAAACGAGGGTCCGAAAATTCGACCCTTTCTAATTAGCAACAACGAACGTATCCCCCCCCCCCCCAATTTGTAGGTTGTTTTTTTTTTCTTTTTTTTTTAGCTCGCGATAACTGAGCCGTCAAATATCATTTCGACTTAACGAAGCGTCGCATGCACACGTGCGGATATTACGCCCGTCAAGGAGAAAGAAAGTGTTTTGCGCGCGAATCGGACTGTGACTGAAATGCGAAGCCGTTCTTACGACGACCTGGAAACGATCATAAATTTTATTTCGCGAATTTATTGTATATATGCGAAATGTCGGAAACACTAAACCAAAGATCAGATATCGAGAACCGCAGCCATGCAAACATAATGGCAAACCAGGTAGAACTCGAGAATGAAGTTGCGGGTGGAGTAACGCGATCCTAATGCGATCTCGCAGGCAACGGGAGATTTCTGAAGTTACGTTCTGTTAATTAATCAGAGATTAATCCCGCGTTTCAACTCCGTTAAACAAGACGCGAGCGCTATATAACCCCATTACTACCCCCCGTCCCCCACACACGGTTTCGCTATCGATTCGTGGAAATTTGCGCCCAGAATCACAGTGGTTGATCAACATGAACGGAACGGCAGAGAGTGTTCATTGACTCGTTAGACGCGAACACACGTAATGGTTATCTTTCCACCCTCTCCTCCTCTTCCTTCTCGTAGGGTAGAATTTCCATTTTGACGAGACCCAGTCAGCGATTATCCGCGTCTTAAATTAAAAACGAAATTTCTTTTCTTTTAATTCAAACCGTCGCTCTCTTTCTCTCTCTCACTCACTCACGTAGCGCGTTTTGAAACATTTTTCTTTTTTCAAAGTTCCGAGACGCGTGAATTTTTCATGCGACATGTTTCTCATTTAAATCCTCGCGTCAGTAGTTGAGAGCTACCTACGGTAGCTTAGTGCTTTCGAAATTAGCTGGAGATACACTAAGAGAAAAGCAGAGGTACCCTCAGAAACATCCACGAGGACGAGGTACATACATTTTTCGCTTTGCAGAACGGTCTGCCGCCGACGTACGAGGAGTATCTCTGTCACAAGTACGCGATGATGACGCGCTCGCACACTCCGCCGCCACCGTGGTCCGAGTCGATAACGACGACGGGAACGACGACAACGACGGCGATGTCGTCGTCAAATCCGACCCTGAGCGTTCAGGCGCGCCGCGACCTCCTGGCCAGTCCGGCGCTACGCGAATACCTGGCGCACCATTTGGCGCATCAGAGCGATCGCGGCGCGCATTATCAGCAACATCAGCATCAACAGCAGCAGCGACAGCAATCCAGAGATGTCGCAACCTACTCCTCGAACCTGAGGGAGCAGCAGCAGGTCAGGACGCAGCAGCGCGCACGAGCGATGCCTCCCAGGTGAGTGTTAGAAGAGGTCCCCGACCTCTCTCTTGACCGTCGTTTCGTATCTCGGATACGGGATCGCTCGACGAATAATTTACCGCGGTTTACCGGGTTGACCGTGTGTACACGGCCGCACCGTCGAAAATTAGCTTCTTGGCTCGTGGGTCGGTGACGTTGTCGGAAATATTTGCCGTGGAATATTGCGCGAATCAAAGCGCAGCGAGATCAAAGCGCTTCGGAAGAATAGACGGTTGCGGCAATTATGCAAATACCGAGAGACGTTGTCGTTGCCGGTTTCTTTTTTTTTTTGCGTTTCTCTTCTCTTTCTCATCCCGGTCGAGTCAATAAGGAGAAGTAACGGGAATATCTTGGCGCAAGTTTTTTTCTTTTTTTTTTT